TTCTATTACATCATCTTGGTTATTCCTTATTTATATTACTTTCATTTTTTATACGATTGTACAGCTTTGATAATAAATTGGTTGGAAATAGATCCCTTCACTGAACTTCGTGTTTTTAACATTTAAATGTAGCTGGTTTTCATGTGATTCATGACTGACCTATCGAATGTGAATTAATGTACTTCACAACTACAGTCAGAAAAGCAGATCATTTATACTCGACCAGGCGATCATGAATAGACTTTAGTTTCTAAAAATTTCAGCAAATGTCCACATAGATACGTTGTATTGTTTTTGACGATGCTGCCTAGAGCGATAAGGTATGCTTCCACTTAAGTGATTCATTTATAAAGGTATTTAACTTGATAGAATCGTTCAAAAACTGAATTAACTGAATGGAAGAATTCTCTCGAGGATATTAACATTCCGAATAGCCCGATTTGTAGTTAATTGGTTTGTAAAGATTGTTTAGTTTGGAGTTACCCAGGACGATATCAGACAATCATTTCGTGTTATTTTATAGTTTAGAACTGAAACCGACACGAGATAATCATTGAAAATCAGAAAGTACTGAAAAACTGTTCTGATCTATTGTGGGACTCATCATCAGTGTTTGCTCAGGAACTTACTGTACAACAAACTTAGGATCTTCGAATCTCATGGTTAGTGCCTAAGCCTTAGGCTACTAAATCAAAGATCACTGGTTCAGATTTCTTACTGATTATTCTCATTATCATTCAGAAATATTTGGAATGATATAAATAGTATAAGCAGATATACTAATTACAATAGTATTGTATAATCACACTATCACTACTATTTCATCATCACTAATAACTATTATTTCATTTTCTATTGTAAAACAACCAACACATATGATGATGAACTCATTAGAATAGGCTTCACTCACTTCATTTTTGCTTGATATCACATATATAACCAATGAAATGTGATCGTTGTGCATTCAGAGCAAAATGTTCAACATCACACTATTATCTCACGATTTAGGTGCATTGAAATCATCTTATAACTATAAACATCTAATTAGTGTTAAATATTCTGGTTAAAATAATTATGTTCAATGATTAATCATTTAGTTGAAACATAGAAACATTGATACATCAGATACATATGCGTCATACTTGTGTGAGAACTGAAAGAATATTGTCTTGGAGCTCGAACCGAAGCAGGTGTTTTTCTTAGTGGCCGCACCCCGAACCGTTCACTTACAGGTCTCATCCACAAAGCAGTGAGGCAACGTTAAGCGATTCAGTCACATGGTAGCCGGTGATCAACAAAAGGTTCATACAGTATTTGTTTTCTCAGGATCCTGTATATCCAACAACTCGGTCAAAGCTCCAGACATTCGCTTTTCGTCCTCTCACCTTTGTAAACAACATCTCCACCGCGAGTAGGAATTCCCTGGAAGTGGCTGTATATGCGTGGCGATGTGAATGCGTATACAGCCATTTTCAGAGAAGTCCTACTCACTGCCTTCTCGCGGCGGGGGTGTTGCTTACAAAATTCAGAGAACGAAAATCGAATGTCCCGTGCTTTAACCGGGTTGGTGGACACGGAGGATCCACCTGGAGGAGTTAGAAAATACCGATTCCAAACCATCGATACACATGGGTTCCAGGATGCTGAGGGAAAAAATGGTATATGAACTAATTATTGGTCACTGGTTACTATGGGTCCTCATTTGCTCACATTACTCCACTGCATTGTGGATCAGACTTTTAGGTCGAAGGCTCCGGTTTTGGTCCCCTAAGAAAACCTCCTACTTTGGTTTGGGCACACGGGCAGCTCACTCACAAATCAAATGAAATTTCATGATAACTGTAAACATCGATTTCTTTTAGAATAATCTTTATAATATTTCATATACAATAAATATTGGGTAATTATGTGCTTACATGAATGAATACATCGTTAATAGCTAAACGGTATATTATTAGTATATTCATCAATCATCTAGTTCCGTGATTATATAAATATGGATAGATAGGCGTTAGTCTGTGTGTGTATGAATATATATATATATATATATATATATATATATATATATATATATATATATATATATATATATATGCGTGTTTACTTGAAAAGAATCGTTACTATGCTCATCATATAGTTGAGTCGATCGATTTTCGATTATATTATGATTGATGTATTAATGATGATAATAATAATAATAATAATAGCGAAGCTCCCTAATATCATTTTGTATAGATCATTATATCTCTGTCTAACCTACCTATTGAATGAATAACCATCAATTTTATTTTAACCAGTTTTTTTCTTTCAGTGAAATTATCATTACACTTCTTAGATTCCCATAGTTAATATTATATAGTTGTAAAGTTTTTAAACATTCGTATATATGAACAATGAATAAACTACTTTCTAAATAGAACTTCTTATCGACAACTGTTTATTCTTTCATATGGAACATCATAGTTTATGTTTAATGGGGTATGTAACGTGATAAGTAAAGATAAAAATAGCTTACTAATATTTGGTCATAGATGTGTTCTAGGTATTTCTTACATATCGTGAAATTATCATGACTTCAAATGCTCTGATACGGTCGAGAGTGGGGAGAGTCCACTCTCTCCGCTCTTACATAGTCATATGTATATAGTCACTGTCAGGGAAGTTCTAATCACTGCCTTCTCGCATCGGGGATATTGTTCACGAGATTGAAATGACGAAAAATGAATGTTTAGTGCTTTAATTGGGTTAGTGGATATGGAGGATCCACCTAGGGGAGTTGAAAAAACCCTGATTTCAAACCAATGTTGTATATCAGCTCCGGAATCTTAAGGAAACATATGGTGTATAAATTTATTGTTGGTGATCAGCTACCGTGTGACTACATCTCTTAACGTTGCGAATTTGACCTTTAGGTCGAAAAGAAAAGAAAATGCTTCAGCATGGGCGTCCGGTCAGTATTCCATTCCTCACACAAATCAAATGATGAAGTGTGATGCATATGTATTTGGTGCCTCCATGTATCAATATTCATATATTTAAATAAGTGCTGAACTTAGATGCAGGATTGAAGGCAAATATGTCAAATTAATTGATGAGACTGTGTATCTCTATCGACTGAGTTTATTGAGATATATATCATGTAGGCCTAATAACCGCCTAAATCGAAGCTTAGCGTTATTTCGGGAAACAATAGTTTGGAAGATAACTAAGGACCAAAAATCCAAGACATGGGATCAGTTCATGAAATCATTGACTGTTGACCTAAGTCAGTTGGTGAGTGCAGTCTACTTAGTTGAAATCCATAGGGTAACCATGGATGTTAATTACACAGGCATTCACTCTTTATTTTCCCCTTCAAATCTTGAGCTTTAAAGTTATTTTATACTTTTTTATTATACGGATTCATTCCTACTTCTCGAATCATATTCTCCAGTCCTTATGTTTCCTACTACCACTGATATTTTACTTCCAATTCTACTACTTTGATAACATTAAAATAATCTTTATAAAATCTCTTTATCTTAACATATTTTTTAGCTCATTAACTGGTATGTAAACCAATTTCTTCCCGGTTTATCGACTACTTACGAGTAGAAGAATCGTTATATTAATTACTATTAAAATTTCTTAAATCAATCCGACAAGATAATGAAAATAAGTGAAAAGGAATAAACACTGAAACGATTAGATTGCACATACATCAGAATCAAACTTCACCAATCCGACTAGTTACGATTATTGTTTTATCTGTATCTTGAATACTGTTAGAGGTATAACGGCTGTTATCACTTCCCGGTTGTCCACACTGTGGAAGGATTTTTCTGGAGGTACTTGAGAAGGAAATTGGGTTAGATATGGTCTTAGTGACCTGAGAACGTGACCGTAGTGCCCAAGAGACAACTGCTTGAGGTTGGTCACACACGACCATTTCGTGGGTAATTTTCATGTTAGCTCCGTACTTATTGGAACCTTACCGCCGGAGATGGAAATCCATGGGATAAGGTGAGATATGCATTTTTAGGGTTGGCCTTTTCTAACCCGACTCCTCCTTGTGGGAAGGCAGCATCGCTATTATGTTGGTTGTCTGAAGGAAACAATTTACTGCTGTCACACCTCTTTACAGTCAGCAGTATGACTTCGCCTTCGGACGTGGGGTTTGGCCAACTGTATATTTCATCAAAACAAATTCTTGTTGAATAATAGCCGGATAGATCAAACTAAATAGACTTAGTCGGTTAAGGTGAAGGTGAATTGAAGCACTTTGAGGACCTTAAATTAATCAATCAGACGTAATTTCTGTGTTAAACGGTTCATTTATTGGAATAGGTATTATTCTCCAGTGTTAGAGAAGTTATCATTTTAAATTTATGATATATAAACGTGGTTTTGATTAATTCGGTCCTACTATATTGTATCAGGATATCAGATTAATTCTGTTACTGAGATGCTAAGCGTAGTATACTATGCACAAATAGAAAATCGTTTAATCAGGTTACTAACTTTCATCGGCTAAGGTAGTCGAGAATTGTGATATGCATATTTAACCACTGTCTTTACAGATACGAAATTCTGACTGGCATGGAGGGTGGGAGAATATGTTGAACAAATTGAGACGTGTTATTGTTTTATGCATTTAGTGATTGTTGACATATAATACGTTGGTAGGTCCAAACTTCCTTCTTGAGGTGTCTAATATGACCTTATATATGACGTAAGATACTTGTTATCTTCTTAATTTCATCTCTGTCGCTATGCTGATATAAAGTGGAGCGGTTTGTAGTGATTTGTATTTGTGCTACGTTGTTTATAAGTGACTTACTTACTGATGCTTTCAAATATATGCGTTTAGTAAATAGTCAAGATTTCGATTCTTCTTTGTCGCTCCCGCGGGTACGTATTCTGTTACCCACATACACTACACCACTGACTCAGTGGGAGAGTACTTTTCGAAATTGCATTTGATTCTTTAGTTCTATCTATTGACTTTTTTTTGCTTTCAGACATCAAATATTCGTCATCAGTTATGCACGTCTTTTAGCTGCTCAATTGTCGATCCAAGTACCACAATCCTGTTTCTCCTCTTCAACTTCTTCATCGAATTTCTTTACTCACTTAAATTATGGATCGACTGAACTAGTTAATTATCTTCAAGAAGTATTTATAAACTATATTCCACCAATGTTTACTCCATCTAATAAACACATTGTTATTGATGAGAATGAAATGAAGCCACAGCAAACGACCACATCTACTTCGCCATCAAAATTGTCATTACCTAAAGATAATGATCCTACTATTACATCAATGAAAAAAATTATTTTCAATAATCCTTCTCTCAATGATGGAGATAATGATTTGACAATAAAAGAAATTTGTCTAAATGAATCATTTTTAAAAATGTGTACAAATATTTTAGAGAGTTTAAGTAAACCAGAGAAATTTAAAGGTATGTCCTAATTTGTTCTTTTAATTTCTATCTGTTTTACAACAATTTCTTTAAAGTCAATCAGCTACAACGTAGGATCAAGCACATAGATGCATCGGTCCAAGTTGCCATACCTCATTAGCACTGAATTCATAGAAGTAGTTAATTCAATGGTGGTAATGTATAAAATGTATTTTCCATTATAGACAGCAGTGGGATCGACAATGGTGCTTTTCAGCTTATTTACGACTCTTCATTTGAGTGTAGTTGTATAGGAATTGAAGTAGTTGAGCGTGTCGACCGCTTCACTTATCTGAGAAGTCTCATCAGCCCCTGTGGCCTGGTGTGTGACGAAATCTCAGCACAGATACAGAAGGCTCGACTAGCTTTTGCCAACTTGCATCATTTATAGTGAACATGGAGAGTTCACCTAGGGGAGTTGGAAAACCCTCATTCCAAACCAATGGTGCACACGAGCCCTATTATCCTGCAGGAACAAATGGCTACCATGGAATTGTATCTCCTGACATTGCTCCACTGCCTTGTGGATCAGACCTTTAGGTCAAAGGCTCCAGGTATGGCCTCCTAATAAAACTATCTGTTTCGGTTTGGGCACCCGGGCAGTATCACACCCCTCACACATATCAAATGAGATCTGTGTGGTGCATATATATTCGGTGCCTCGTTGTACCGATATCTATGTGTTAAAATAAATAAATAAAACACCCAGCTGATGAGTCTCAAATAGCATGAAACGCGCGTCCTGGTTTCCACTGCTAGCCACTATCCATCTTTTCTCTAAAAACTTGTGACTTAAGGCTAAATCAAAGAACTCCGCACTGGATGCACATATACCAATAAGAGACTGATCGATTGCAGTCCTTAATAACAATGGGAAGATACAAATAAAACACCAATTGAATTTAAACTTCATCCCATTGCACAAGTGGGTGGCTATCAGGACTCAGTAGCTAAGTGGATAACTTGATGGCGTTTAAGACGAACAGTACTGGGTCCTAGTCCCAGAGTGAACATCAACTCTGGGATGCATATACATCCAGCTGATGAGTCCTAAATACAACAAAACGCGCGTCAAACTGAATTCCACTACTAGTCACTGTCTATCTCTAATCATTAAGATGTTACCATGTATATATTATGTATAAAATTTGGTCAAAATTCTTCTAAAATTCAATAATTCATGCTCATCAATTAGTAGTATCTATGCCGAATAATTCCTATAGAAAACTTATTTGTTTTTCTTATTTATTTTTATTGTGATAAACAAATTGAAATACAAATTTCTTTTCAAACAAATTATTATAAACGAGTAGTGTTTGTTATATTTTTGTATGTGTGTGTGCGTGTTTGTGTATGTATGTATGTGTGTGAATTCTTAGTTAAAACACAAGAGGATATTGTATCATCAAAAAGGGGGGGTTGTAAATACATATTACACATATGTAGTATATACATACACACATATATGGATATGGATATATAGATATACAGACAATTGGTATGTTTAAACCATTTTTCCAGATGACCTAATGAGAGAAAAAAAAATGTAACTTTTACTGTTTTGTAATTAAAAAGAAGTTCATGAAACATCAAAGTTATAAATTGTATTGTATTCTGTAAAAATTTTCCTATGTACTTGTACATATTCAATCATTATAGATGATTGACTTTCTGTTCATATTCAGTGTATTTACTTTTGTTTAAAAATTCTTTACATTCAAATTAGTTTTTGATAAGTCCTGGATTTGAATCATTCGAAGGGCGGGATCATGGATGCACACTGTTGAAGAGTACCATACTAGGACGAAATGGCCATCCAGTGCTTCCAGGTTTTCTATGGTTGTCTAGCTTTAATTGAATCATGATTTCAACTATTAAAATGACTAAAATCTCCACAAAACCCTTTTTTATTTATTTATTTATTGTTTAGTTATTATTAGAATGGAAGTTTGTGGAGATTGTAATGATTTCAATAGTTGAATTCATGAGTCGATACAAGTTAGGCCACCAATGAAAACCTGGAAGTACTGAACGACCATTTGTTCTAGCATTGAACTCCTCAACAATGCACATCCACGATATTGAACGTGGGATTCGAACCCGGGACCTTCGGTCTCGTGCGTGAACGCTTATTCTCTTGACTATTCAATGGGCATCTGACGGTGTTAATGTATAATTTCAATCGATCTATGAATGGTTGCGGAATCATTCATCCATTGTCTGAGTTAGATTTTGTCTCATATCAGACATAGATTGGAGTCGACTTGTCACGCCTTCTCACTTGAACTCCAGGAAATCCATTTTAAAGTCACATACTAGGACGAAACGGCCATCCAATGCTTTCAGGTTTTCAATGGTAGTCTAACTTACATGGACTCATAAATTCAAGCATTGGTTAATTACCAATCTGTAAATCACTTCTATTAAATCATTGAAACGTTTTAAGATTGAGTAGAGTTGTGAATTTCTTTGTGATTAATGTGTTTACGTTTTAATTATAATTCATGATTGAAAACCTTAGATGATTTTGTTCTTAATGTTTATTCCATTCATACTTGGTTTTGTCATTGGTATCCTTCTAGAATCGATTATTTCATAATCTAACTTTTTAACGTTTATTCTCTTACCTAGAGACTGTCTTTTCTAGTCCATCTGACAATATCATGTTGAATGAAAATGACTGAAACTTTTTTTTAAAAAACGTTTTAAATAACAATAAGATAATGTTTAGAATGTGTTTCTCTCTACCTAAATATTAAATGTATCTTCAAAACTTTCCTTTGTTAGTATCTAAACTGATTATAGGAACTAGGAAACAGTCGAGAGTGTTAACTGTTTTACTTACTCTAACAATATTTTATCAGCCTATGATGTAATTTGGTGTGTGATGAAAATGGCATATGTACAAAAAATTTATTTGTCTGTGAATCATAGCTTCTGAACTTTCTAGACATGTACTGGTCTCTACTGTTGAATCACAATCATCTTCGAAGTATTGGTCGTATGTGGTGTAATACGTTTATGGCGTTCTAAGTATAGTCGGTATATTGCTTCAAGGCGTAAAACCACTATGATTGAAACATGCCACTGTTTATTGGATTGAGCCGTATAAATAGGTACAAAACACCTTCTCAGAGTTCTGGTGAGAAGCTGTGACCAGTGAAGCTAATCCGTGTCGGGTAGAAACAGGTGTCTACCTCAGTACAATGGAAGATGGTCGCGTAATTTCGTGTAATGGTTGAGGTTAGACATTAACACCATTGGATGCCGGCTCAGTGGTCTAATTGTTTGAGCGCCTTGCGCGAGATTGATAGGTCCTGGGTTCGAATCTCATGTGCCGGGAACATGGATGCGCATTGTTGAGGAGTCCCATACTAGGTCGAAACGGCCATCCAGTGCTTTCAGGTTTCCCATGGTAATCTAGCTTCAATCGACTTATAAATTCAACTATTAAAAGTAAGAAGAATTTTTCTAAATAATCATAGACTGAGTGATTAACTACCTTTTCACTGTGATTATAACGTTGTAAAAGATGAAATACCCGCATCATAAAATAATATACATAATACAATGTTGATGAACTTTATCTTAAGAAAAGCATACGAATTTTGTAGGTGAGAAAAATGGTTGGCACCATGATTTTGTCACTCATATTATTATTATTATCATTATTATTATTATTATTATTAGTAGTAGTAGTAGTAGCTGTAGTATTTTGATACCCTCATTCCCAGTGATTGATTAACAAGACGTGATTAATTATTATTACCAGTTCATTTTGTTATGAAACGGAATCAGGAAATGATTGTAGATATTTTTATCTCACACACACACACATACATGTACGCACCAGAAGTAACTACTGTATAAACGATTCATAGTAGACTTTACTTCCTGTCTCTCTCCTACATTCTATCATCATCCTAATAACAATTTTGAGTAAGTTATTATTGATAAAGTAGCTGTAATACATAACCGAACTGATATGTGTATTCATGCACGCATTTAATGCATGTCTATAAAAGGTGGTAACTATTAGAATTGAATAAAGCGGTGTTTTTCGAATTCGCTTACGATTTAAACAACAACTGACTAAATATGTGTATTACAAAAGAGAATATACAATATTACCTTATTATTCAGGTCAATGGAACATATATACCCATTAATTAACTTAATCTTTATATCCACTTATAATAACTTTAGTATAGTCAATTCAGCCAAGTATATAATAATTAAATTACTTATGGGTGATAAAGATGGCCTTTTGTGTGTGTGTGTGTGTACGTATTAGTTTGTGTATATTACTTATGGGTGGATAGAAAGTATTTTGATCCCAATTGGTAATTCCCATTAATTATAGTTTTTATTCTTTTGTATTCAGACGTAAATAGAGTAGATATTTTGAGGTGTACACTAACCCTTACTAATTTAGGTATCTGGTTGTTCTTGTTAGCACTTATCAATGGAATTGACGTATATCTACCTCATAGGAGTTTTAGTGATCAATCACACTGTGATTTCTTGATACTTGTGAACATTCAATTCATTCATTATATAATCTATATAGAATACTACTGATATGTGATCGATTTGATAAAAGGACAAACAAATCTTAAATATGGTTCTCATCAAAATAGTTGAATATATTCTCCCTGTAATCATAACATATAAATCTATTTGACAATTACTTTGTTTTTATAAACTGTCGTTTCATAGTCATTCGTAAGTCTTGATTTTTCCCTACAGGATTTTTAGAGTAGTCTGGCACGAGTCTAATGTTTTTGTAACTGATTTGGATTAATGAATACGCTTATTGAAATTCATCTTGTAAATAACAGATTGTCATACTACTTAAATGTCCGCTTTAGTTATAATCACATTACTTACTTACACCTGTTACTCCCAATGGAGTATAGGCCACCCATCAGCGTTCTCCAACCCACTCTATCCATTCTATCCAATTGTTGTTCATTCTTTTCGTATCTGTCTCCATTTCTCGGCATAATATGTTCTTTGGTCTTCCTCTTTTCCTATGGCCTTGAGGATTGCAAGTGTGTGCTTGCTTTGTGACGCAGTTCGGTGCTTTCCTCACTGTGTGTCCTATCCTCCTGGAGCCCCTCTAGGGCTGCTGCCGGTACCAAGCTCGGATAAAGAAGGAGGGCTGAGCATGAAGTTAGCGACCCCATCATGTAGAAAACTAACTCACTAAAAAACACTAAGCAGAAAAAAATAATTCAAACCATTTGAACTCTGTCCTGGCAGTTAGAAGGTCTTCATTTAAAAGAGTTATGACGCCTCATGGTAAAAACCGAGTTCTTTCGGAAGTCACGAGGCTGATGCCCCTTGCAATCAGAGCAACCATTGATTTAAGTTCATGGATTGCACTGGAGAGTCTTCCAAAGTACTGCAGGAATGAAAAGATACAATCTCGAGGTGCTTGGAATCAGTCAAACACATTGGACGCAGGCTGGACAACAGTTATAATCACGTACTTTAAAAAAAACTTGACACCCTTAACCCTCAGTTATAAAAAAAATGAAAAAACTAAGAATGATTAAGGGGCTTTACGCTACATAGTAAAAAAGGTTTACGTGCAACTTATACACGTATAATGTACGCTATTGAAGCGAGCTCAACAAAAATGTATAAGTAATGATAACCTTGTACGGATGAATGATTCACTTGTTCACAATAGTCTTTCTACAGTTGCGTCTCTCAACTACCTGTGGCCTTCAGATAGAATGTGACTTACGTGGACTCCATAAGCTTACTGCTAACTCATCTAAATCATTTTGAAGGCTGAGCTTATCGATGTTAATCGTATGAGTATACATCAAAAAGAATATGAATTAACGTGGATATCATGTGACAAAAATTAAGGCTTGAACGGATAATGAACGAGAACACATATTACGAATCTCCAGTCAATTCAACCCAAATCAATTGATTTACACAGAGATGGAAGGTGAGAATCGATTCGATATCATACAGTTTTTTGTAATATACCTACTACATAGATATCAGTCCTGTTGTCTGACCGACGACACTTGCCCATATTTATTATAAATACACATATTAGAAACATACTAAAACAATTTATAATCAAAGATGGGTTTTGTGAATATTATAGTAATTTATTAGTTGAATTCATGAGTCAATTGAAGCTAAACGACCATAGAAAACCTGGAAGCACTGGACGGCTGTTTCGTCCCAGTGTAAGACTCCTCAGCAACGTGCATCCTCGGTCCCGCCTCACGAGATCCGAACCCATTACCTACCAGTTTCACGCGCGACCGCTTAACCACTAGACCCCTAAGTTAGCCGGCATCCAACGGTATTGGTGTCTAAAACATCGGTTTATTCAGTACAACGTATTTGATTGAAATGAAATACAAAAATCTCTAAGTACAAATTATGAAATATTTTAGGAAAATCCATTTTCATCAAGAAAAATTGTTTGATCATCACATTATGTAAATTCAATATATAAATTTCAGTTTTTCTTCTACCCAATAGACAAACCTTATGGAAAA